GCCGACTAAGGTGAACTCATAATAGTTTGAAGCATATCATTTGTCAAGCATAACAATGTTTCATGGAAGTATTGAGTTCAAATCCATAAACTTAAACAACAAATGAAATGAGAAGATATAAACAGCTTGAAATTTGATTAAAAATGAATTTTTGCAATGTAAATTTTTGAAGATTAATGTTTATGACTGAAATCATGAGCTGGGGTTGCACAAAATCCTTTGGTTGATAATAGTTAGACATTACCAGTGCCGGGTGTTGGCTTAGCAGTCCAGAGGTTGGGCGTTCGCGTGCAAGCCAGAAGGTCCTGGGTCCTACCAAGATGGCTTTCTTTGCTTGTCAGTTAAATCATGGATTTTTGCCGTGTTTTTGTCCGACCGCCCCTAGCTTTCTTCCAACCTATTCCTATATTCCGAAACATAGACTGACGAGGCAGTCGGTGGTTAGACATGCGCAACACATGTCCCGAACACCTCAACTGATGAAGTTTCAATACTTCATCTATGGATCTACCATCCGTACCTGGCACCCGTTTCCTGATAACAGCATAGCTTACTAGGTTCTCACCAAGTAGAACTGTATCTTCGGAATATTCTAAGTCAACCAGCGAATTTCTTAGTAGAAGGTATACCCTTGAAAATTAAGACGAAGTCGCCAGGTCAGAAGGTGTTTTACTTCATGCTTAAAGTTGGTGTTTGCAAGGAACAGGCGGTTATCTGAGCATCTATGCAGCAGACGGTTGCCATTATCTGTTCTATTAGCCTACTTGGCACAAGGTTCGTACTATAAAAACTCCAATATGTAATAAGGTCAAGGGTTTCAAGAGCTCAAAAAGTTTGCTTCAGTGGCGCGAGGTGACAAACTATCGAGGGAAGAGTTGGTCAGAAAAATAAGTGAGAAGATAGGAGTTGTAGAAAGGATTTGATTATGACCGATTTGGTCTCGTGAGATTTTATGAGTGTGTCGGCGGATGTTACTTCCTGGCTGCCCACAACGTGTAAGGGTTCTGGTTGTCAGAAGGGGCATCGGCACCATGAATACCGAAGGAACTCGGCTTTCGTCATGAGATGTTATCATATTTCTAAACGAAGATTTTCTGACCCCCAGAGAATTTATTTATCTGAATTATTTTTTCTTCTTAGTGTTTTATTGGCAAGTTAGTTTTTTTGGGGGTCGTCAACGCATTTGTCCAACCGTCCTCTTTTATCCGGGGTTGGGGCCGGCATTAGACCCGGAGGGTCTACAGGCGGATTTGGTACATCACTCTTCCCTCAAAACAACGACTTCAACAGAGTGTTCTTAAACAGAGTGAAATTTAGGCATCCCCCAATTTTGAGATCAGCATTTTAGATTCCGTAATGATCGATCATGCACCGAGCACATTGCTTTACCGATTATTTATGGTCAATTAATTGAATGTGAATAGCCACTAAATATCAGCTACACTGAATACGAGGAAGTGTTCTATATTGTGAACAGAATGACACTATGGAGGCTTCTTCGACACTACGGCTTGCCTGAGAAGATAGTCAACTTCACAAAAAATTCTTATGAAGTATTAGACTGCAAAATCTTGCATGGAGGACAGCTGAAAGACACTTTTGAAGTGAAGAGTGGTGTCAAGCAAGGCTGATTACTCTCACCATTTCTCTTTCTCCTGGAAGTCGACTGGATTATGAAGACATCAACATCTTAGGGGGAAACGAGGGATCCAGCTCGTATGCAGCCGGATTTCACAGACGGTCTAGCTCTTCAGTGTACAACAAATAATACAGGACAAGACGATCACTGTAAAGTCAGTCTCAGTAGCAGTAGTTCCTCAACATAAACAAGGAAAAAAGCAGAATTTCCCGACACACGATGCAACAACCAAATCACTCTTCACGGAGAAGCTTTGAAGGATGTAGAATCCTTCACATAACTAGACAGCCTAAATGATGAGCAAGTTGGATATGATGCAGAGCAAGAGCAGCTTTTTTATGCTTGGAGAGCATCTAGAAATCAAACAACCTACATCAAATTCACAGTTTTCACTAGAAATGTCGAGACATTTTTAATGTATGGGGCGGGAACATGAAGAACCACGAGAGCCATCATCCAAAAGATATAAGCATACTCTGACAGTATCCTACTCAAAATACTCCATAACCATTGTCCAAACACTATCACTGTCAACCTAATTTGGGAGAACACAAACCAGATTTCACCAATTTATTATCCCAACCTCAACCACTGGTAATGATATTCTCAATTTTGAATAGGGTTATGACAAATACTATATATGCAACATCATTGAATACGTCTGATACTACTTTGTGAACTAGCCATGAGAATAAAGCAACGTATAATCAAACCAAAATGTGGAACAAATCTCTGGAATTGTTGAGTTTCAAATGTGTCATATTCATAGTTGTAGACTACAGATCAGGTTTCACGTGATTATTGTAACCAATAGTTGTGAACTTAAAGTAGCGTTTCCTGATTGTTCACGATATCAGAAATGTGTCCAAGTCATAAAATTTCTCTGCTTTTCCCTATACTTCTAGTATTCAGAAATTTGTTGTCTCAATAATGTCACCTCAACGTGTGTTAGCAATTTCAGCATAATAATTGACTGAGTTTACCTAATCAAAGTTCATTAGAAATGTATTTGATTTACAAAATTTGGACGTATTAATTAGTTTTGTTTCCATTCTGTATTTACATTCATTCATCATTTCAATCAACAACTCAATGACAAATGGTTTCGTTGTATTTCTAAAAGGCGGCCATTATAAAAATTCGAAACAGCTTTAGTAAAACGTGTCATCCAGCTTGATTTATTCAATGTTTAATGACTTACAAGAACAAGACAGCAGATAGGTTTGTGGTTATGGAAAGCTACCACATCGACATTGGCCGCACTTCTGAGAACCAGATTCAAATGGATTGGTACGAATCCACTCTTCGTTCATCGTTTCGTTATGCTTAATCTACATACTCCTAAATGTGCACATTTGCCCGACCTAGTAGATGTTTCATTGGGCGTCTGATATACTGGAACTATTAAGAGTTCGTCTTACTCGGTAAACAGAACGAAGATAAATGATCCAGCGATTCAATAGGCTACTCTAATCCGATCGTCATAGGCTCTGCTAACTAGAGAAAGAAGTCTTCATAAGACATAAAGAAATGTATTTCACAGGCAAGCACAAAGTACGAGGTCAATAAGTACACAACTCGGTCTAATTTATACAATGATAGAAACGCCCTTGGTGAAGATCACAAAATAGCGTACTAACATAATCCATCAATCAATGACAGTACCGGATTTCCTGAGTAGGAAATGCAAGCTCAAGGTCAAAACGAGCGTCTTTGGGCGCGGAAAAACTAAAAATTTCAAATCAAGAAACTATTGCAAGTAAGTTTTCGGGATCTAACATCCCCATCGGATCAGAAATGATATTGATCGACTCGATCATGATCAACTGCCGTTCACTTTTTAGACTTTCATCGGAACTCTTCACTTCAAGTGGTGTCCGTCAGGGATGTCCACTTTCTCTATTCTTGTTTCAACTTTGTCATAGACATGATTTTAGAGATAATATTGTTTTTGTGTTCTATGAAATTCTAACATTCTGAAACCCTAATCATCTCTTTCTCAATTTATGTCACTTAATTAAACTTCTTAGATAATATCCTGGAACACTAATCCTCTCTATTACCAGTGGTACTCCTACTATCTTTACCACAATGGGATTTGAACTAACAATTGTGTCTCTGCGCTTATGTGCCATGGAAACCTGATGTGCGCATGTACGTACGAAGTTCTAAGTTGTAACTGACACCACTACATTTCTCAAATCGACATTTAAATGACAAACAAAAAAAGGTGGTTCGAGCTCTTGAGTATTACACGACTCATCTAGTGACCAATTGATATTAAGAGCTTTTTATAATACATTTCAACGATTGCACTTATTACCCAATTAATGAGAATGCTCTCACAGTAAAATACACGCTTCTAATTCTCAATAAAATGAAAAGGTCAGACTAATTTTTGTATAGCAACAATTAGAACAAATAAGGACAGATGAAAACGAAATTCACAGTTCAACATTAACCAATTCAAACTGTACAATATCACGTTTTATTTTACATAGAAACCTAGTTAATCTGATTAGAAAAACCTACAAGATTACATAAACTTAACATTGTTCATACGTACAGACAATAACGAATACCTCTAATTCAATCTAGGGCAATATGCTGTTATTTAGATAGTTTAATTTTCAAAACATCATCGTTGATGACCATCAAATGTATTGACAACACTTTCACTACTCCTTAGATGATGTCTTATTAACAATGAATAATCTAACTACAGAAAAAGACTATTCATCTCTAGTCAGAGATGAATATATACTCACCGAAGTTTCTATCTAAACAACAGAAGACACAATGATATGATAGTCGACGACGGTTAGGGCGTTCGCGCACAATACCGAAGGCCCTGGGTTCGAATCCTGCGGGGTGCAGGAGTCGTGGATGCTCACTTCCACACTGATGAGTCCCATACCAGGACGAAACCGCCGACCAGTGCTTCCAGGTTTCTCATGGTGTTGGTCTAACATTGATCGATTCATGGTTACAAATAAAACTGAACAATCTTCACAACAACTCCGCAATAACATTAAATAAATCAAAATTACAATAAAAATCATAGTAATTATTTTTTTATTTTTTATTTTTCTGTGTAGAAATGCAAAAAATGAATGAATATATAGTTTTTTTATTTAATAAAAAAAATTAAACTCCATATATTTTCACATTTCATTTGAATGATGAACAATGTCTTCACCATTTAAAAAATATGACAAGACAATAAATTTTGGAGAGAAAAGGAGAAAAAAGAGAGAGATGAATTATAACACAAAAGAGATTTATTTTATTACCATATACAATGTGCTGTATTTTATAAATAAATATTCATTAAAAAGGATATTTAAAAAAACACATTAAATCAACGTCGTGATCTATAACGATTTGACGAAGAACGATCTCTGCGATCATTATTCGTCGATTGAGGAGAAGAACGATGTCTTTGATGATTAAATGAACGTGAACGACGTCGACCATGATCACGTGAATGTGATATAGAAGAAGAATCTGGCTTACTTTTTAAACGTGAACTTTCCACATAACTATTCTTATAACTAGTATGACGATTAGGAGGAGAACTATGACGATTGCTAGATGAACGTCGACGTTGATCGGAACGATGATGTTGTGATCCGGTATGATTTTTTTTATAAGCTGCTAATGCTTCACCGACAACAGATGAATCACCACCTCCACCCCCACCAGATGATGATGTGATGTTTGGACGACTTTGTTTGGCAGAAATCATTTCTTTCTCATCGCTATCTGTTTTCGAGTAACGACGTTTTCTTGAATGTAGAGGTGGAGACTATAATAAGAATAATTAGAAGAGATAAACATGGTCAATTGTAAGATGAATTAGTGAAACGTTCAGAAATAGCGTCAACTATTACGTTTACAACTGATAATTAACCTAAAAAATTTTCAGTCAGATTCAAAGTAGAACTTCGTACGTAAGTACATTAGTTCATGTTGCCATAACACATCGGCACAGAGATGTAATTGTCAATTCAAATCCAATAGTAGAAGAGGTAGCAAAGGTATTAGAGGTAATCCGAGAGGTTAGGATTAGAAGATACTATTCAAGAAGTATGATTCAGTGAGATAAATTTAGAAAGACAAAACTGGAGGTGTTAAAGAATCCTGAAGACTAAGATTTGGGAGAACGAGAATAAATGCACCGGCGGTTTTGAGCCACGTCATTCAGGGTCTCTAACCATCGATTATTATCATCTGGCGGACCCCAACCAGGTGGTCGACACCTACTGACATGATTTAGTCCACTTGTCAATGAATTCACGCGTTTCTGTCATGTTTTGGTGCCGCCACTACATTTCTCCAAACCTACTCCTACACAACAAAACAAAGCTCGTCGAGACAGATGGTGGTTAGGCATACGCAACACATGTCCACCTGAACTGTTGTATGTATATGTACGAAGTTCTAACGTTGTAACTAACTGACTGAATGACTGACAATGGATGTAAATAAAAAAAGGTTTAAATTACGTTACACAACGTATATATACACTTGCGAATTCGGACAGACAGACAGACAGACAGATACAACATTAAATGCTCCAACATGTAATCTAAAGCGGGGTATTAGGAGACCAGAAATGATGTTCCGTGAACTCGCATCGTTTGCATTAGCTGTCCACTGTGATAAAGGAATGTGAGAAGAGTTAGTCGTGGAGTTAAGAGAGGTATTAGGGGGTGTAGGAAGGATTTGATTTCGACCAATTCGGTCTCGTGTGTTGTTACGTGTATGAGGGCGGTTGTCACTTCCCGGCTGCCCACACCATGGAAGGTTATTTCTAGAGGAACCTTAAAAGGAAGATAGATTAGCATTGGTCTTACAGACCTGCAAAGTCGACAAAAGCTTAAACAAAGTAATATCAATAACAACAACAACAACAACAACATCCAACTCACTGATTCCGATGGTTTACGACTATTATTACTATTATTATTATTATCCAATGTTTTGTCAACTTTCAATGAATTCGAATTGTTTGATGAATGATCTGGTTTGGACAATCGACTTTGCCCTTGCTGTGGTTGTTTGTTATCATCCACAATATCACGGCATTGTCCACCAGCTTTGATATCCCGCATAGATTTTGATTTAGTAGTATCTGTTGGCGGACGTTTACTATCATACAACACATGATTTGAAAGGGGCTTTTTATTAGTTGAAATTTGTTTAGAATTATCATTACTCGATTTTGTATTGGTGCTGGTGGTGTTGGAAGATAATTTACTGTCGGGAATTTTTGCCCGAGAACTATTATGATCTGTTGTAGTAGTTGATAGTTTACGCATAGGATTATTATTAGTCGTCGTCACACGACCGGAAGAAGGATGAGATGAAGTAGTAGGACGATGGGAATGACGAGTACGGGGAGAATTTGTACGAGAGGAGGAAGAGGAGGCGGAGGCGGAGGAGGAAGTAGAGGAAGAATTAGCAAATGGACTACGAGTTGCTTTTTGTACTACTACGACTGGTTCATCGGATCGATAGGATGAATGTCGACTTGGCATAGTTTTAGTGCTGGATTTTTTTTCAACTATCATTTTTTTCATTCGTCGATTAACCTTGATGATTTTTTTTGAAAGTACAAGAAAAAAAGAACAAAAAAGAAGCTTGATATTTTTTTAACAGACAATAAATAATCATGGTGAATATGATATCGTTCACAAGATAAAAAATGAAACTTAACCATCTATCTCCCAACATAACCCAATATAATGATGACGTAATAAAATGTTGTTAATATCACAGACCAATCAAAAAAAGTGTTAGTAATTAAAATTTCTAATTTTTTTCCTAACGGAGTCACATGGAGTTTTAGCGAACTAATAGACTGAAACCGCTATTCGACTAACTGCATTGATATATTGAGACAATCTCAACGCCTAGCTGAGATTAAAATAACAAGACACTAAAATTATCTTACTTTATCAAGTAGTCAGCTCGACTCTAAAAATACCACACCGCACGGATCCCCATCTCCAGTGTGGTTGGGACATGTGTTGCGTATGCCCAACCACCGACTGTCTCGGCGAGCTTTGTTTTGTAGTGTAGGAGTAGGGTTGGAAGAAAGTTAGGGGCGGCCAAACCGAAACATGCCAGAAATCCATGAAGTCATTGACTAGTGGACTGAGCCATGTCGGTTATTGTCGACTACCACCTGGTCGGGGTCCGCGAGATGATAATCATCGATGGTTAGAGACCCAGAATGACATGGCTCAAAATCGTTCGCAATGGCGCCGGTGCATTTATTCTTTGTGTTCTCTCAAATCTTAATCTTCTGGGTTCTTCAACACTTCTAGTTTTGTCTCTACAAACTTATCTCAATGAATCATACTTGGTGTATAATATCTTCTAATCCTAACCTCTCCGATTACTTCTAATTCCCTTACTACCTCTACTACTATTGGATTTGAATTGACAATTATATCTCTGTGCTGATGTGGTATGGCAACATGAACTGATGTACTTACGTACGAAGTTCTACGTTGCATCTGACTGACTGACTGACCATCTCCAGCGGTAAGGCCACTTGAAGAGCGGAGCGAAAACTTCAGAAACGTCCCATAAAAAGGCCGTGCGTGACCGGCCTCATCCAGCAGTTGTCCCTCAGGTTCTGAGATCACGCTCCCGAGTCGCTCAGGCCAACGCTAACCCGATTTACTGTTTACGTTCCACACTCTCCGCCCTCATACTCGTAACAGTACACGAGTCCAAACTAGTCACAATTGTATCTTTTCTATACCTCTCAATAATTCACTCTCTTATCATGACGTAGTAGACCTAGCTATTTCAAGGAAGTTTTACTATTATAGACTGAAAGAATAATTAATTCAAGCACAGTAAACGTGTATAAACAAAACAGTTAAAACAGAGATATCGAGAAGTAGGTCAAGCAGCCGATTTATAGTGAAAAAATATCTGTAACGATGTGAAGGTGGAAAAGAAGACGGAAAGCAATAATAATAATTGCATGTGGTTTTTCTAAGATTTAAACTTTTTTAACGGTAAGGCAACAGTTGATGCCATTATGTTCTGGACTACTCTGACAAACAATGAGGTGAATTAATCACCATATCGCAAGGTAGGATATAGTCGATTCTAAGGACTGTGTATTGTTTATCTCTGCACTACTACAGTATCTGAAACAGTATGTTCGTATACATGTCAAGGGATGGTTGAGTGTGAAACGCATAAACTATGTGATTCTATAATGTACTAATGATCAGTCAAATCACTACATATTCTTCTCATCATCATTAACTTCGTACGTACATAAGTTCAAATTGTCATGCAACAACATCAGAACAGAGATGCAATTGTTACTTTAAATCCCATAGTATTAGAAGTATTAGCTGTAATCGGAGAGATTAGGGTTCGAGGATATTATTCAAGAAGAATAATTCAGTAAAATAAATTTAGAAAGAGAAAGATAAAGGTGATGAGGAATTCTGAAGGTTAGGATTTGAGAGAACACAATGAATGGGTGCACCTGCACCATTGCAAACGATTCTGAGCCATTCCATTCAAGGTCTCTAACCATCGGTGACTTTCGTCTCGCGGACCACCAACCAACATGACAGTCCACTTGGTAGTGATTTCATCGATTTCTGTCATGTTTTGGTCTGGCCACCCCTAGCTTTCTTCCACTGCAAAACACAGCTCGTCACGGCAGTCGGTGGTTAGCCATGCGTAACACATATCCTAACCACTTCAACTGATGAAGTTTCACTACTTCATCTATTGATCTGCCATTCTTACCTAGCACCCGTTTCCTAACAACAGCATTGCTTACTCAGTTGTCCCACGATAAACGAGCAATGATTCGGAGAGCTCGATGATCGAAAACAAGCAACCTACGAATATCTTCTAACATCATTTCAATGCACAAGAGAACACAAATAACAACAAAGACATAGAATTGTACAGTTTAAAATTTACCTGTTCCGATGTTAAAGGTAGCCAATAGACAGAGGGAGTAGCAATTGTTTTACGAAATAAATTGTTTAATAATTTTGCCGGTTCTTCAGTTTTAGCTAAATCGGAGAGTAAACGAAATCATAAAACGTAATTCGACATTATCAATACTAATACTAGTAATAATAATGATAAGCTTAGCCACACAAAAAAGGCTGATTTCACTTTCATATGTAAACAAATGATTAACTATCACAGTACCATTTAAAACACTTGTGAAACATAGTCAACTGATGGACTAAAATATCAGTGAGAGTATTATACAAAACAAGACAACGCACACATACACACACATACTATCAGCACAATAAGATGATATTTGTTAAGGTAAATAAGTAAGTACCTAAATACATGAGGCAGTAACACAATGTTGATCGAAACAGAAGCTATTATTCGAGAATAAAATATGGGTTAAGATTTTTTTAAAAAACAAGGTAATTTAGGACCTAAAAGAAGGCAGAGGATGAAGGCATAAGTAAAACGTTAAGTTTCTGGTTCATTAAAACGGTTTTCGTGTGGACCCTGGTCAAGTAGTTTGTATCTACCGACATAGATTGTAATAAACGTTCATGGTTTGATGGATTGATGTCATGTTTAAAATTGGTTGTCACAGCTTTTCGCCGAAGTACTCCAAAATTACCAAGCACCGTGCATCAAGGTAAGTAGTTTGTTGGGCTCATTACGTCATCAAGCGATTCGCCATTATCGCTAATTACCTAAATTCTGATTTCAGCATTGCTAAATCGATGGTTTCAACTTTCACACAAATACTACTCATCCACTGTTTAAAGGGGTTGATTGGATAGCATACACGTGTCAATGTTCAAAATGAAAACATCAGTATTTTTGCATTTAGGTTGGAGATAATTTTGTCTAACTCACTCCACAGAAAGAAGTTTAGTTTAGACATTAAAAACAATATGAAAATACTTGACTAATTCACCAACTACTTATGTATGCATACATTGTAAGTGTAGGATGGGTTAATGACACCATCCGGTTCTTCAAATTGAAAGCCTAACAAGGTTTGAATCGAAGACGCATTCGCAGAGAGTCAAGCACCTTAACTGTTAACAACTGGTCTACTCAGTTTAGACATATGATACAAGAGC